ATACATCCTATGATACATACATAGGAAGTGTACCTTATGATAGGTACGTAGGAATGGTATGATCCTTCATTCCTTGGAGCTTCGTATCGTACGTAACGATTCATCGGTACGTGCGTCGATCGTAAGAGGTCCGAGGATCGTAAGAGGTCCAAGATATCAGAAATAGAATACTTCGCACGGAACAAAGACGTCAGTAGATCAGAATAATAAGAACTCTGTGTAGATTTAGTACCGAGAGCTACACAGGATCTAATCAGATCTACTGAAAGCTCAAGTCCGAGCGCAAGAATCTTAATCTTATATCTAATCTTATAATTTCAATTTTTATACACACTTGACACCTACTAAGAGTACACGTAATCTCGTGCAAGGTGTTCCAATGGAGAGAAACCAGTCAAAAAATCAGTAATGGGTCAACAGTGTCAAAGACACCACCTCGATACCCCAAGACCATTACACATTTCACTACACGTAGATCTAATCACATTAGTCAAATCCTAATTTTGGCAAATACTACAAAAAGCTGAATATGCAATCCGACCACTTAGATCTCTAGAATATCAGACCCTAGAAGTATTATCATACAGTACCATAGTACCAAGAGAAAGTCTCATGGCAGCAATCCAGCAGAGCAGTACGGAAGAAGGAAAGACAAGGCTACAATAACTCAGGCTAAGAGCAGTTGGGAACAACTACACTTAGTCGTCTGTACGTCGTTTCCAATACTCAACGAGTTCCTCTTTTTTTCTCATGCTTCGTGAAGAACAAAAAAATTCGATGCACACCCCTCTAAATTATGACCCCTGCTTTTAGTAACCGTTACCCATGCCTGCGCGACGGTAATTCAACGTTCGGCGAGCACAACCTTAGATACAAACATGATGTGTGATTGCCATGAAATCACGATTTCTTCGTCGTTCGCGTTCAACAAAAGTTACCCGCATGGTAGACTTCAGGATAAGTGGGGAAAAAGAAACGACAGATCATTAAACGACGAATGATACGAGAGACGACCCAAGTCTACAGAGTTTCAAACTCAACGCGGCATTCGAAAAACGCGCCAACAAAGTTAAAGGTTTGCATTGCCTTTCACTTGCAGTAAAGGAAAGAGATCAACAATGAATCTTCACAGCAGCGTGATTCGAAATACTATCGGAACTGTGTGTGTTCTCCTATCGGCTGCGTGGTCTACCGATGCACAATCACACCTAAAGCGAAAAGATCTTTGTCCCACCTACAGTGAAGTTGATCCCCTCATAGAATGCGTGGAGGTCGCATCTTATGGTGGCTTGGTGGAAGTGATCGAAAATGCTCCTTCCGGTGCCGAGATTACATTTTGTCCTTTCTTCATTCGAAAAACTATTTCTGTTGATCCTATTATGGTGAAGAAAGGAATCAAAGTGACTTGTGCAAGGAAAGAAGAGGACCAATTTTGTACGATTATCGGATATGGAAACCACCTAGTCATTGATACGGCGGAAGACACGCTTTGGCAAGGTTTTAATTTTAAGGGCTCCAATGACCACGCGGTCCTTATTACCGGAGAAGCAGACAACACGGAGCTGGCTACCCATACATTTTGCCAAGTTAGCTTTTCGGAAAACGTTCGAGCGAAGTCTACCCGAGGAGGGGCTTTGATGCTAGAGCGTTCAGCTGGAACCGTGAATGTAGTAGAAACTTTCTTTGCAGAGAATTTTTCTAGCACATACGGTGCCGCAATCTATTCGAGAACGAACCAGCTCAATATCATCTATTCTCTTTTTCTTCAAAATAAATCAAATGGATACGGTCCCGCGGTTTTTGTCGCCCAAGGTGGTAATCTAATGGTGAAAACCACTACTTTTATCGGGAATAAAGGTAGAGATGGTCATGGTGTACTTTTCAATCCAGGTGAGCAATAGGTGATATTTGAAGATGCTGTATACCTGAAATTTGTTGGTTATTTTTTTCTCACTCAAAGAAATGAAATTCTTATGATAGGTGAGGGAGCGGGTACCTACGAGGATGGATTCGATAATAGCATCAACAACGGTGATTGTCGAGGTGTATATGATTTGACAACCAAAGCATGTATTGTCTTTAATGTGTCTCCACCTACTCGTTATCCAACACCAAGTCCTACATTTAAACCTACAAAGCAACCAACTAAACTGCCGACAGCACCACCAACAATTGCCCCCAAACCCACAAGGCCACCAATAGTGGCAATCACAAAAAGTCCTGTGAAAGTATATACTGCTGCACCAACGAAGGTAACGGTAACGAAAGCACCAACAACGAAGGCACCCAATTCAACTCAAAAACCGATCGTATCGCCGACAAATAAGCCCACCATTGATATTACCAAGGGTCCAGTACAAGTTGTCACGGCAGCACCAACAAATAAGCCAACTTTAACAAAGAAACCTATTGCATCTCCGTCAAACAATCCAATGATTGCACCGATATCTGCTACAGCGGAGCCGACAGACAAACAATTGGCTAGTGCTCCTACGATTACAACCAAGACCCCAACAACTGAACCAACAAAAAAAGTAACGGAAGCGAACAGCTTTGCAAAAGACATTGCCAATCTGTGTATATTCCGAGCGATCCCAAAGGACAGAAAATGCATCGACGTGGAAACATATGAAGATTTCAAGGTTGCAATTAAATCTGCCATGAAATCTGAAAGCAAGGATGTTCAATTTTGCGGTGGGTTCACACTCGAAAAATTGGAGGTAGAGCCCGTCGAGGTAGATCGCAGCATCGACATTCGCTGCATCGCAACGTGCACGTTCTTTGGGGTTGGACCGTTTGCAAAAATCAGTGGCTTGTCCAAGATTCGGTTGCAAAATCTCAAGTTTGTAAATGCACAGGAAACCTCCGCAGTCGTCGTTTCAACAATCTCTGTTGCTTCGAAGACAACTTTTTGCGAGACTGAATTTTCAAAGAATCTGGTTTCTCCCGAAAACCTTGATCTTGGAGGTGCTCTCACGGTTGCCGATAAAAGTGGTATTGTTAACGTTGTGAACAGTACATTCAGCGGCAATATTGCGGCTCTGGGTGGAGCTATTCACAGCGATGGATTCAAGCTTAATGTCGTTGGGACAAGTTTTGTGGCGAACAACGCATATAATACTGGAAACGCCATTTATGTGGGAGATGGCAACCACTTGTTCGTGGAATCTTCTACTTTCATCCTAAACATCGAAGCAGCGTCGCGAGAGTTGGGTCGGGGAGGAGATGGTGGCGCCGAGAGTGTTGCAATCGCTGTTCAACCGGATCGATCAATTCGATCTGGCATCCACAAAGGAATGATACAGGACGGTGGATCGAACCAGATGATTTTGAGTGGGAAGTGCAAGGGGTATTACATTTTGCAGAAGAAATTTTGCTACTACTTTAGCAAATATTTGTCTTAGGAAGACACAAAAACTTCACAAACCGATCAATCAAAGAATATGACCAGCGGACTATTTGTACGTTGCAAATAGTGGCTGATGAGTTTATCGATCGTCTTTGTGGGGGAGTCTCAGAAAGACTTGAAAACGGAACGTTAACGTGTGCATGTTAGAAATGTCGGACATCCATAGTAGTGCAAATCAGCACCAATACGTCGTAGATTGACAAGTGGGCGAAGTAAAGTAAAGAGAACAATGTATTGTAATATTAGAACCAATCTCTAAAGTCCAGCGAAAAAAGGCCACGCGTTAAATGGAATCAAACCAAATCAATTCAAATCGAGCCAAATCCATCCATCGCCGTGGTTCTTTTTTTCGTGAGCTACATAGGATCAAAGAAGCCACCCGCAGATCCACCTCCACTTGGATCGTACACATCGTCGTCGTCGTCATCGGTGAAAAACGATGGCCCTCGTTCGTTGTAACCCTGCTGTTCATTAGCGTAGTTGTTGTTGTAATTGCCACTACCGCCATTGTTGTAGTAGTTGTTGCCGTTGCCTTTGTTGTTGTTGCGCCTGGTATCGGCTTCCATCTTGCTTTCCAGTATGTCCAGGTCCTGGACCAACAGCTTAGGGTTGGTGCTCAGCATGTCCGTGTTCTTGTTGCGGTAGAAGTCCGTGTCGATCGCCCCCACCACACCGATCCGGCTTCCCTTCTGAACATTCTTGAGGGTCCACTCGGCCAGGTAGCCCCAGACCTCGAGGTTGAACCACTCGGTTTCCTCTTGGCCGAAGGAGACCCCCTCCTGCTCCCGCTCCCAGGAGGAGTAATAACGGGGCAGCGCGAGCGACATGGTCACCACCACGTTTGGTTTGTTGTTGTTGCCGTCCCCGAGCGGATTGTCAAAGTACCGGGCCTCCGGCGGGCTCCCCACCCTCCCCACAAGGGAGAGGTGGTTGAGGGTGGGGACGGACTCGTCCCAGTCCGTCATGACACTGTCGTAACTCGCGTCGCAGCCAGGTTTCGACAGGGAGGCGTCTCCCCTCGCCTTTCCCTGGATGTACATCTCCTCAAAGTCGTCGAAGGGAATCTCGTTGAAGGGGTCCTACGAGCAAGAAACGGCAAGCGAGAGAGCGGGTGAGCGAGCGAGGGCGGTGGAGAAAAGACCGACAAGAGCAAAGAAAACACGAACCGAACCGAACCAAATTGGTTTTGGGGGACAACACAATTCCCCACGCAACTCACCATTTCCCCCCAGTCAACGTCATGGACCGTCGCAAAATCGATGCAGGCCCCGGGGACGAATATGTCGGGAACAGTGTCGGGCCCGGTTGCGGGTCCGTCGGCGCTGGAAGAAAAGAGCGATGCGAGGCGCCCGGTGCTTCCCTTGGCGACACGCTGCCAGCGGCGATTTCCTTGGATCCAGCCGCACGAATAGGCACCGGCGGCCGTTGCGGAAGACGAAGTGGCGGCTGCGAGGAGCAGGGATCTCGCCATTGTCGTTTCTCGAATGGGTTTTCTGTTGTGACTCTCCGTTGAAATTAGTATGGCAAAATGATCAACCCGGTCCCTGAACGAATGTGTGCAACAACTGGTGTGCAAGGTACCGTACGAGTTATTTCGATATAAAATTACAGCCAAAATTAACGCGCGATTTTCACCCACCCACTAGTATACCTTTGGCAGACCAGTTCTAAGCCGCCAGAGCATCCTTAAGCATCCCAATGACCTGGATCACTAAGTAATTGTATCATCTTGGTCTGGGCACTTAGTCTGGTGGTCTAAAGTTGTTTTTTTGATAAAGATCTGGCCTATTTTCTAACCAGCAGGCGGTCTTGTAAACCGGCCAATTATGGCCATACCGGCTGTTAATGGTGAATCGCCTCTCCCCAGGCCACTAATCGTGTAACAATGACACATGGGGCTGTTCCCAATACTATTAAGAAGCTTTTCCCCAAAGGGGATCTAATTACAAGCCTTTCTGCTTTCCGGAGCTATTGTGTTTAGCTTATTTTACCTCATTGAGCTGTTTGTAGTGGTAAAAGTGACCGAAAACTAGTAGATCTGTGTAGGACCAGTACTAGAATATTTGGCTTCAAAATTAACCGTGATTTTACTAGTAATATTTTTTTCTGTTGGAGTAGAATGACATTGAGGTCTGTAGGCCCTGGTAGGATTTTACGGTTAACGCATTTTACTTCGAAATAACTGGTACTGTACTGGTACGAAGTGGGGTGTTGCGGTTGCAACCGGACAGCAATTCGTGGCTGCCAAGCAATTTCTGTTGATTCGATACTACTAAATGTACGAAGCCTTAAAGAAAATTAATCCTATTGACTAGACAAATTGTTAAACGAATGAGACCAATTTCCAAGGCATTTTATACCTCAACATATTTTGGGGTATTCTCACTCCATTATGGTTCAACAAATAATTGACAAATATAGCCATTTTTGGCCAATGCCTTCCAAGGTGGTCATTACGTTATCGCAGGACGTCTGTACACCAACACACTCCTCACTGAAACATCACGATATACACGATGCACAGTACTGGTGGTAGTGTACTTTCCACACAGTGTTGTTCATGCAGATGCTGCTGCTTGAGTGCCACTTTGGCTGTTCATGCAAAGTGCTTCTTCATAAAGTTGCTTGTAATGTAGATATTCACCCTCGGTGACACCTTGAATAGTGTTTCTAAATTTTCTGAACTTCTTTCCTTGTAGGGGCTTTGTGAAATAGTTGGCAACGATATCATTGGTTGGACAGTATTCCACTGTGACTTCCCCCTTTTTGTGCACGAGATTACGTGTACTCTTAGTAGGTGTTAAGTGTGTATGAAAAATTGAATTATAAGATTAAAATTATTCGAAGATTACCAAGCGCCTTCACGAGAATTCCGAAGTTCCGATTAGATTCTCATATAGATCTGGTACTGAATCTACATGAAGGTTCTTCTATTCCGGACTCGTGACATCTCTATTCTTCGTGAGGTATTCTTGAATAGTATCTTAGACCTCTTACGATCCTCAGACCTCTCACRATCCTYGGACCTCTTACGATACATACGTAGGAAGCGTACCTTACTATAGGTACGTAGGAATGGTATGCTCCTTCATTTCTTTCTTCAAAGCTTCATATCGTATGTATACTTCCTTTCAATACAGTACGTACGTATACTTCCTTTTGCACGAGATTACGTGTACTCTTAGTAGGTGTTAAGTGTGTATGAAAATTTGAATTATAAGATTAAGATTCTCGCGCTCGGACTTGAGCTTTCAGTAGACCTGATTAGACCCTGTGTAGCTCTTGGTACCAAATCTACACAGGGTTCTTATTATTCTGATCTACTGACATCTTTGTTCCGTGCGAGGTATTCTATTTCTCATGTCATGGACATCTTACGATCCTCAGACCTCTTACGAGTTTGGTCCTCTTATGTTGAATCCTATGATACTTACATAGGAAGCGTACCCTATGATAGGTACGTAGGAATGGTATGTTCCCTCATTCCTTTCTTCAAAGCTTCGTATCGTACGTATCCTTCTAATACATACGTATCCTTCTAGTATGTACGTATCCGTTGCACCTTTCAATACAGTACGTACGTATACTTTCTTTCAATACAGTATGTACGTACGTTGCATTATCCCACACAGGAATACT